AGAATACCAAGTTTATTTATATTATAATAAGGTAGATCATTTAGCTTTTAAAGGCGTGCTTTATGACCAAATAGACGGGATTACCATAGGTTCCCCTCTTGGACCAACAGTTTCCCCCTGTCACCACGAGCACATATAAGGTTAGACAACTGCCCATCCAATTTTAAAATGTTATACAGGGACAACATCTATGACAGTTTTTTTACCATTGAGTTCCGCTAAACGATGTTCCAAAAGTCCTTGTATATTTAAATTCTCAGTACCCCAAGATTAAATTCACTCATGTACTTGATGAAAATGTGTCAGTGCCTTTTTTAAACAACAGGAAATAATTTTTTGTACTTCTCTATACTGGAAAAAACTCTTTCTCCAGCCTCTATTTGAAAGAAAACAGTTTTAACTTAGTTAAATCTCTGATCCAATTACAACCTTCTACATAAACAGATTACTCGATGCACAATCTTTTAAATTTTTGTTTTAGAGCAAAGCCCCGTTGGGTTATCTGCTGTTTCCACTGCGGGGAATCAAACCCCGGATATTGCCATTGTAAGTCCGTACACTCACTGCTGTCCCACCAGGGAAGGAAGAGGAGGGGGGTAACTTTTAAAACTAAATGTTCACTAAAATCACACACGAGTACCTTAACAGCAAATTCCAGCCTCCTAACAAACCATGCACTGTCAGCAAATTTCCTATCGTTAACTGTCTAAGAAAAAAAAATCTCAAGGTTGGTAAAAAAAAAACTTTTACCTCAGATTCTACTGAGACTTATTTCTGGCCCTGGTTTTCGAAGCAAAAATTTCTTCCAATATAAGAATCGACTACCAACACTTATTCATTAATGGCTCGTATACAAATACAAATGTAGCAAGGTCACTTACACTGGTAAAAGTAAGTGCTATTTCAAAACTAATCTATAAGAACTTAGGAAAATAGAGTAAAACTGGTTTTTACCTACTAAAACACTATCAGTCTGCAATACAGTCACATGAAAAAAGCATGGATTGTAACATATAGAGTAACAACTGAGTCTACAGACCTTGAACTTCTCGTTAACGAAGGGCTAACCCTAATCTTAATAATCAACAAATATACTTCCAATGATTGTTTGCTGAATTTTGTGCAAAGCTACTAGAGGGCTAATTACACTAACCATCCTTAATTTTGAAGTTACAAATTAGAGGGAAGGGAGTTAGTCAAAACCACCCACTAACAACACTTGAGTTACTTTAATTGGTATCTACCATCACATTATAACTGATGGTATTCGAACCGTCAACCTGCATATTGTTACGGAGAGCTCTAACCAGCAGGCCCAGACAACTTTTCAACTAAAACTTTTAATCAATATAATAAGGACAACTATCAGTTTACAGCTATCCTAAATTGTGACCAATGTATTAGTATCTATTTTCAGTTTGAATTTTTTTAACCTTTCCCTGTTGTTTACTATTGATTATATTCTGTAGTTCACTTGATGGTTTGTACTCATTAATTCTACTTTTCACTCCTCCTGAATGTGTTCTCCTACATTAACTATACTTTACTCCTTCTTATCAATACACCTTGTTTTCAGAATTTACTGATGATGGAAAAGCACATTCTAAAACACTCCATGAACTATGTAAATAAAATGTTTTTATTCCTTCTCTTAATCCTGTTTATCTTCATTACTATACTTTGTCTTCCCCCATAACTGTCTTCATTAGTAGAGATCATCACCCCCTACATAATTCATACTAATTTATATTTTTCTTTTAGGAACTGTGTAGTGTCAAAAATGATTTTAACATTTTTTGAATACATCTAAATTTATGAATGATCACAAAAAAAAAGAATACAGAGATAATATGAAGTGGGAGTTTATAATATTAATGGTGTATTTATTTCATTAATTTACTTCATAGTTTTCACGATAGGTATGATTTTAAGTAGCGTATATATATATATATATATTTAAAATACTACAATATATTTAACCCATGTTAGTTGTATATGTATCATTGAAAAGAAGCTTCACCATGATTTTTGTGATAGTTTACATTCAAATTTTATAAAAGCAGGCTAATATTTAATGATCTGTTGTCTTAGCACAAGTTTCGTACAAAAGACAAGACCACAACGTATGACATTTTTGTACTTTGAAAATGTATGAAATCTGTAAGTTAACCACACAGTCAATGGATGAATTACCATCATTCATAAAAACTAATTAAAACACCCAATGAATCAGTAAAAAACAGCAGTTCCACCAAACCTGAGATTTTTATGTTTTCAATACTTGAGAAACTGTAGCAATAAAACCACAGCATCAAGCAGGAATTTTAACTTGTCTTATTCTTCACAGGTTGCTACAAAGTCTCCCCGAGGGAAACCAAAAATTTCTGAATTACTTTATCACCTTGCTTCATAAAATAGCTGTACAAAGTGGTAACATTGTGTTGGGCTCATTAAGACTGGCAGAATTTTTGGGTTCAGTCATTCTTCTCAGGACTCGCAAGTCACTAAAGGTCTGTATCCAATTTTTGTTAAACTTGTATACATCTAAAACAATCTTGTTACTGCAGAAAGTTCTATTTAGAAACCTGCTTTAGGAACTAATTCCATAGTATAGTTATTATACTACAGTAATTACAGTGAACACGCTAGTCACTATACTGTGAACTTGTGGCATAAGACTTCATTAACAGTAATTCGATGATATCCAACATGTTGATGTTCACTATGTACTAAGTGTGTATGTGCACATTTTCTGAAGAACTGACAAACTTTTCTCTTACAATAATGTTTACACTAGAGTTACTAATTTTTGTTTTTCTAAAACTACATATTTAGGATTTTTTTTTTCAATCTTTGCAGGTCCAGGTAGAAGCTGAAACTGTTCTACAATTTCTTATTATACATGCTCCCCAATTTTTTGATGGTAATCAATTTCAATTAAGACCTAAAATTCCTGTTTTTAACAGAGAGAGAGATAAAGAGAAAAGACATTCTATACAAGAACCATTATGATTGACAGATTTAATGGACAGCAATGTAGCTGTATCAAAGATAATCTAAGCTTTAGTATACACCGCATGGATAAATTGAAAGTTGTGAATGGTTAAAATAAATATTTAAAATTTGCACAACCTCTCTAAATTATGAAATTTTTTACATGAAATTCAATTACTTAACACGTAAGAGGGCCTTATACACAGTTGCTGGTATTTGCATTACCTTCGAAACGACTCACAAATGATAAGTAGCTCTTTCAAGTACACAGTCCTTTTTAAATAATGCACAGGTTAACTGAATGTGCACATAATCAGTCTATTAGACCAACTCCAAACAGGATGAGAAATTTGGACTATAATTAGGAAGTTACTACATGTACCTACACAGAATGTGGGAAAATGAGTAAAATGTACAAGTCTGTTGCACACAAAAACAATAATGTGTTACAAAAAGTGTTTGTACTCAAGACATGTTTGTGAATTAAAGATGTCGGTCTGACACAGTCTCTAAAAAGTTGGAGTGTAAGATGATGTTCTTATGAAGGATGTAAATAATTGTGTCCATCATACACTTTGTATATCATAACCTCTAGAACCTTTGAAATGCATATCTAGAGTTTATTTCAGTGTCCCTCTATATTGTATCTGGTATTTACTCTCTTCTACCATAAACTGTCACCAAGTCTCAAATGTAGGGTAAAATGAATAGTTGATAACACTAAAATCATGTACATAATATAACATTAAATGGTACTCTGTAGAAGGTCATGACATGTGCATTTTAACCCTAACCGATACTCATAGGGTTAAAATGTAAGAATACACACGTTCATACGTGTACAGATAACTTTATTCTCATCCAGCTAAGTTTTTGTACTTGATGCTTATTTACAGATCTCACAAATTTTGGGGGCATTTTTAACAAGTATAGATTTAGTGAGAAAATAAATTACTGATCTACGAACAAGTATATTTTACTTGGAAATAAGCAATCGGCGTATCCTTTTTCTAAGCATTTTGATGTATTGTACACAAATAACTTGATATGCATACTTTTTTTCATACTACAAACTTTGTGTACATGTAAATATTTCTGGTAAGTCAGACATGTGGCTCAAACTCCTTCAGTCGCATTAGCTTTAGTAAATACAGAGTTCAGGTGTAAATTAACACATGCTTGGTCTATCTTACTTGTTAGATGGATATTGCAAGAATGAAGCAATGTTTTTGTTGCTAATTATCTGTAACATTAGGAAATCAAAGGAACATAAATTACATTGAAATAATATATATATATTATAGATACAGTTTTTATTGAAAATCATAAATGACCAGAACAGTCTGAAATAAACATGTTAAAAACCTTCACAAAATATCACAACACTCTAGAACTAAAAAAATAACTAATATATATATTTTTATTGATGGGTTTACTCACCCTACTAAATATGGCTTTAATTACCTTTATGCTAAACCATTTATGTACAGAGAAAAATCAACCAAAATTAGTTCTCAGATATTTGATTTTTGAAGTTAAGAAAACTCTCAAACAACCCTGAATAAAATATATAAACCATAACAAGAAAATTATAAAACTTCATAATGCTTTCTGAATCAGCTCAACTTATGACAATAAAAACTTTCAATTAATCTTGTTTACAAGTTCTCCATACAATCACTCAAGCTAATATAGCTGAAATTTGTGGTTCTCTGTAGTTCACAGTATGGGTTTTTGTTACCTAATTTGATTAAAAGACCAAAAATTAAACAATCACAGATATAAGAGACAGATAAAATCTAGGCAATCTCATATACACCATCTTCGAATAAAGGTAGCTATATAAACAAAAACAACGTTCAAAATGTTTTCTATCACAACCATCTTTATGATGTGAAATTATGGCTAGAATCTTTCAGAAAAATAAACTCCAACATACTTGAAGGGTAAACAAAAAATTAAAACAACCTTGATTATAGTGTAGACATATGTATAAAAAATGGGACTTCTAATACTCAGATGATTCAGTGTTACATTTTTTTTTTCTGTAAAACAAAATAACAAAGGAAAAGATTCAATAACATTTTGATTGAACAAGTCAGAGAAAGAAAGTGGACAGCCACTATAGGTCATGCAACTTTTCTCACGATTCTGTGTGATGAGTGGTGGGGCTATGTGTGTGTGTATTTATACATTTTACAATCAGTAATACTATGTACCATTTATTTCCTACATTTGTTTAAAAAAAAAAAATGTAACAATATAATCAGCCATACCACAAAATTTTTAAAAATTTGGAAAAAAATATGCATGCTTTATCTGATAATAATCAAAATTAGGTTTTTTAAAATTAACGAAATACCCATAAAATAAATGATATTAAACAAAACTGATAGACACAAACGTGAAAGACTAAGTCGGAGGCATTATCATATAATTGTTTTAACTAAAGGTAATAAGGTAAAAGTTTATAAAAACTAAAATGTCCAAGTTCAATACAAAATACTTACACAAATATACAGATTTTGGCTTTTTGAGAAGAAATCTCAACAACTGAGTCATTGACAATGCTAAAGTCTGAAGCCAATTAATCCTTAACTTATAATAGAAATTGGCAGAAGAAAAAGACTAAAATATTCCTTCACAAACACATTGACATTTATCACTGGGCTATGAACAACTTTTCTTTTCTTAAACTCACAATAATATATGTTTAATATTTTACTTTAGAAACACAGTTCATTTAAATTCACTAATAAAAAATATCCAAACAATAAACCCACCATGAATTATCTGTGGTTCATATACTGATCAATAAACCTCAAGTTTCCTTTAACTGTGTGTGTATGTATATAATTCTTTTAATTGTGTTATCTAATAGTTAATTCAGAGAATACCATTAATTTTTAAAAGGAAACTATCATAAATGTGCATTTTCATACATTTGTACTTGTACTTAATGCAAAGCATGTATTTTATGTTAAACACAAGTGATATCCTATACTAATGTAAACATACAAATTGGTTTGAAAACCAATACATTTCACATGAAGCACTACTAGTCCAGTTATGTTCAAGCCGACAGCTAGTGTTTCTGTATTCCTTGGTAAGTTATATTATTTATTTATTATTATTTTATTTCACAGTATTGATTATACTATTTAGTACATTGAATTGCATTACTTTTTATTTTGGTTTATTGTTTATTATTATAATTTCATCACACAGATTGTTTTAACATATGTATTTAGTTCTAACTTAAATTTCTTAAGCTGGCCAAATCTCATGAGTTATTATTGGGATTATGTCCAAAATATCATTAATATAAAGGGTATCTAAATGATAACAATGCATTCTAATCTTTACAAGTAGAAATGTAAGAAAAGTCTATTTAATAAACTATACTGATGACCAGGTTGATATTTAGTTTTACTCTATGTATAAGCTTTCTCTAATCAGAAGTTAATATTAATTAAACATTTGAGACATATCACAAGTATATTAAAATGTTCAGTACATAAAATGAGAGTGAAGTTATTAATGTACGTAATATATGTTTTATCTTATTCTCGACCAATACATTTATTTTAAATATGAAAGAGAAATATGTAATACTAATCACTATTTTATTTACCCCAAAGTTCTTTAGGAACTGGAAAAACCTTAGATGCTAATTTTCATTACATGTAAAGACACTACAACTGAGTAATAAGGATCATAGCATATCAGTGTAGAAACTACAACTAATTACCCTCAGACCTCTAGCTCAGTGTTTCTCAATCCATGGGTTGTGACCCAAAACTGGATCGTCAGAATGTAGGAAAAGTGAAAATAAAATAGATAACACTTTATTATTTTGGATGAGTATTATTCTGCAAGAGGCGAGAAGAAAAACCTGGATAAATATTAAAGAATCAATTAGCGTGTTATTTATTCTATATTATCTTCTCACCAAGTTTACACATTTATTTAGTAAGCCAGAAGTTCTTTACATTAAACCTATTTATTGGATCATGCCGGGCAATCATTGTTTGTAAATGGGCCCTCGAGCTAAGAAGGGAGAGAACCACTTCTCTAACTAATGTGTGTGGAAAAAAGTCCAGCTTTTATCTGTGCATAATATATTTATACAAAAAGATAAAAGTTACCGTACTGGAGAATATTAACCTTTTATATGTACCTTTGATAGAGCTAATAAAGAAGAAAGTAAACATAGCAAGAAAAAAACTGTTTAACAACACACAAAGACTAAAGAGAATTATTCAAAATGACTAAATGCCATAATTATGTGGCATAAGATCTATTTTTTTCATACTCTACACAACAGTTGATTTAAATTAATTAATTAAAATATCAAAGCACTAAAAATTACCATGAACTATCTATGTATTTCATATACTGGTCAAACAACAAGTTTCATTTAACCCTTTCACTGTAGCAACAGTGTTTAATTTTTGGGAAAAACCTTCTTTTGTTGTTTGTTGTTGTTAACTTTCTTATAACAGTGATTTTTGCTACAGAGCTTCTGTGCCATTGAAACAGTTTGTTTATGATTTTATGGTAGAATCCTTTATTTCATGAGCTCATAGTCATCTTTTAGAAGTAGCACACACTTCACTGGCATGACCCATTTGTGATAAATCTTGGGGTTTCTCTGACAATCACTGCTTTGATTTTTAATTTGATGATAGCAAGGGAAACCTTTTGCCCAGATGAAACCATAGTTTTTATTGAACTTTTTTTTCTTGTTTACTCTGACTAAACAGCCATAATAAACTTGAAACATCTACAGAAATAAAGCAGTGGACGTCTTCTAAGAAAGCCCATTATTTACCTGGTGATATGACTTTGCCATATGATCTATACAACATATAACCACAATAACGCTTGAGGACTTCCCTAGGATTACTTTTATGCATAGCAAAAAGCAGAAATATCTGTGTGAGGACTCTATGGAAAGAAGGTTACTATATGCTGTAGGTTATATGGCACAATGCAGTGAAAGGGTTAATGAGTTTACCTGTAAGTCTTGACAAATACCATAAAATCAGCAAGCCTTATTTAATAATGTAATTAAAAAAAAGATGAGTAATCATAATGTATTTTCTTATGGATTTCAGTGAAAATTGATGGCTAACGAATTTGATTTAATTACCTATATATAAATCCTAACTAATATTGATTAAAGGAACTACAGTTGTATTAGTGATTAATGTTAAATTGTAATCACTTAGTTAAAATCTTTACTTACAAACCTAAGATTTAAAAGCTCTCTTCACAGAGATTGTAAATTTACAACTTTCAATTATTCACTCATTCAAAGTGATGTTTAAGTCCACTTCAAAACTGCTAGTAATATTGAAATGTACTTAAATTCATTTAACTATCTGTCCTATAGAAAAGTATACATCAAAAAGTTCATGCATAACCATTTTTTCTACAAGAAACAATACTCTTAATTTTCCTCTCAGAAAAAAAAATGCAGGATTTTCAAACTTTGGATTTTTATCATTTGACTTCATCATGTTTTTTTTGCTTTAAAGAGCTCACGACTTGTCCATCTGACACACTAGGTTTTTTGCAGAACTTTACTTCCAGTGATTCTTCATTCTCTTTCTCAAACTGAAACCTGACATGGTCAACTCTTCTGTTCATTTCACAAGAACTTTTTGGACTGAACAGTAAAGCAGAAAGAAGACTAAACTTAAAGGATTTCGAAACTGGAACAACCATTACACCGGATACAAATATAGTTGTCCCAGTTACATAGAAAGTAGCATCATAGTTACCAGTAGAATCAAACATATACCCTGCAAAAAATATAAATCATTTAGAAAAAAAAACTATTGATTGTACTCAAATTTTAATTACTACAATCATTAACTGAGCAAAATAAAAGTAGGCACTTACTTCTGTATTCAGAAATTAAAAGTTTTTGTGCTGTTAAAGATGTGTTTTCCCATAAGCCTTTTTTGTTTTTTCAGCTAGTGTTTTATGACTGAAAAGTGTATATATTCTAACTTTTATTCTTGAGCTTTCTGTATAAATAAGACATCTCAAAACACCATATATATATATATATATAACATGCGCTCCACTACTATATGAACCCTAGTCTTATTCTTCTGGTTTGCCCTTATCTAGGGTTACTGATGAGGGTTGAATTCCTTAAAAACTGGTAAACTCCCCAGTGGACAAGTGGTAAAATTAAAGTTAATATTTTCCTATGCTTAAAATATGTTTCCAATACTTACCTCTTCTCACAGTTACACCTATTTTCAATTTGAATGCCCTTTAGTGTGCAAATTTTCACTTGCCACTAGCCTTGAACTCCCACCTAATTCCACATGTATACCATGTGGTTCAGCTGTATTTAATTAACATGAGACAACTCTCCACCAATAAGACTGCAGCGCACCCTCCTATCACAGCTGACTCTATCTATATAGCCGAACCCATTCTTCACATCGAAATTAGACATGAAAAACAACACTGGAAGTGGAGAGGATAAGTGGGAAGTGTGAGAGGAGGTAAGTATCTATTGGAAATATATTTTTAGTGTAGGGAAATATTAACTTCCGATATGATTACTTACCTCCCCTCACAGTTACAGCTAGAATCCTACATTGAGCAGGTGGAGGGACTGGTGTATAATTGCCTAGATGAGCACCCTTCAAAAGCGTCTGAAGAACACCCATGGAATGTGCCACCTCTAAGTAGAGGAAACACACCCGTGGAAGAATGCAGCACATGCAAACTGGGTATACTCTTCCCACAAGTGGAGCCAACTGGTGCTGTGTCCAAATCAAAGGGTGGAATAAATGATCTATCCCAAATCCAAAAGGAAGAGGAATGTATATAGAGTGACTAGGTGTGTCGGACCGTAATTGGGAGGTCAACTCCAGTCCAGACCAGTGGCACCGGGAGGAACTCGACTGGCACCTGGCAGGAGGATGGTCCTCAACCATACACCTCAGGTGTAAGAACCAGAAAGGAAGAGGAGCCTCTGTTCTGAGAACCTAAACAAATATATGTACAAATCCAACACAACCTGGAATTTATATCCAGATAACATCAGGAAGGTGTAAATGTAATGTGGAGGGTCAATTCCAGTCCAAACCATTCAGAATTGGGAATTTAACAACAAAAAAATAGAAAAAAAATACTAACCCACTCAGAGTTGTACCTGACATATGGAGAATGGCTTCAGGGGAAAGGCGATATCCAGCTGAGGAGGAAACCTACAGATGGTGCAAGAAGCGCAATACCAAGGTGTGGGGAGTGGTCTACATACCGGCCTGGATAATCTCCTCCAAAGAAGGTCAGAAATGAGCAACCAAGGTCATTTTGAGGTGGAAGATCAGATGAAACAATACACAGAACAATTCGCAAGATTCAGGAGAAAGGGGGGGGACAATGTGGATAACCTGCTGAACCCAACTGGTAAGGGTGATAGAAGTCAGTGTGGAGGATACCAATGGATAAATAAACAAAAGGGTGCTGTGCATGACACATAACACCGTAAGGCATGAACTAGACACAGAAGGCAATCTGGATCAGTGCTGGAGGAAATATGGGATATGAAATGGAGGGAAATAACTGGATAGGTAAACACATGGGAAAAATGAAAAGGAGAAGACAGGATCACCCTATAGCCCACAATGGTTGAAACAGACAGACCTTTGTCAAACAAATATTGTGAAAACATATATCTGAGCAAGGGGAGAATCCATGTTGGATAGACATGGATGAGGAATGGACAGTGTGACACAACCAGGATGCTAAAAGAGAGGATAGTCTCAAACCCCTCACAATGGACTGTACAAATGCTAGAAGTGAAGCTGGAGTGTAGGAATGGAGGGATGAAGCACCCCTAAGTGAGGTGGCTGGAGGGAGGGACCAGGAAAGAGGAAGAGATAATAGAGGTTGTTCCGGGAGAATGGACAGGAATTGAAACCACGGGTGAGCCAGCAAGAAAGGAGCTACAAGAAGGACCCAACATAGAGTGGAGTAGATGAGAGAAGTTAACTGGGATAGATGCTAGGGTATGCATAAAGGAAAAGTCCTTCCAATCCTGACTGAACACATTCACAGTCAAAACCAAATGATGTGAAACTGGGGGCCAAAAGAGAAGAAGCTTGGCATTCAAATGAGATGAAAATGCATCCAGTTAAGGAGTATCCAACTGAAATATAGGCATCGGAATACCTGGGGGTCAAGAAACCATTCAGTGGATAGAATCTATTCAGGAGGGGCCAGATGATCTTCAACTAGATTGAGGACAATCCAGTAAACAAATTTGATGGCTGGGAGCCTAGATGAGTTCTAGAGTGCAGGAACATAAGGACCAGGATCGAGTATACCCTTGCCTGGTGATGTAAGAGACACCTATCAAGTTGACAGAATGAATCATAACAGTGATGTCCTGCAGAGATGATAACAGTCACCCACCAAACAGCAGGAAGTACCAAAAGGTTGATGTGAAGACCAAATTCCTCCTGTGATTTTTTTTTTTGCAACAGGATGAAGCATGAACATAGTTACAGGCTTAAGAATGAGTAATCATCGATATTCAATCACAAATCTTTCCACCTATAACCACATTATAATTAACAGACAACAACCGAACATCATCATAACCCTTTACGTGAAACTTTCTATCATGAAATAATGATACAAAAACTTTAACTTAAAGACAAGTAAAGATCACATGAAACACTGCCACCAATTCTATTTCTCTTAAATACTCTGGTCTGAGATGTCCAACAGTTCTTTACAGAATACGGATCCCCTTGCATAACAGATACAATTTTAACAGAGGCTGTTTGTTATACATTTTAATCTCTTATCCTCTATGTACTTATAACCTAAATGTTTTGTCAAAAAATAGTGACAATACACTACACTACAATACAGAAGGCTAGATCCTGCAGTAAGTTACAAAGAAAAGGATCTCAAAAACATACCATAAAATCACAACATAATTGGAAACAGGAATAGCCAAGATGGCTCGGATGAGATGATTTAGGACACCAGATAATTTATGGACAATTAATCTTTTACTCCTCCTAGCTGCAAGTGTGTAGTGATTCAAGATCACTAAATTAAGAATGTTATGTTAAGTGCATCTAGTAAATAGACCCATACCTTGGTTATATTGTCCATACATTTTTTCAATTTTGTTTGTTAATAAAGAGAAGAGAATAAAAAACTAAAATATGACAACACCTCTCTCAAATTGATCAAGTTGATTTCATAAATCAGTAGAAAAAAAGTCATTCAGAATGAATTCAAAGAGCTTAATAAGAGTTAGTTTGGGAGATTAACATTAGTATATGAAGACATAATTACTGAAATTTGTTCATCATAAACTGGTAACACAAAAACATATAAGAAACACCCAAAGTCATAAAGTAAACATTAATATTATCAAAAATTTTTGTAGGCAAATTTATAACTTATGTGGAGAAAATACTTGAAATGTTTATGGAGATATAAAAATAAGCCATTAACATACCTGCTAAAGGAGGTCCAATAATGCTAGCAAACCCTTGAATTAGCAGAAGTAGACCATAAGCATTGGTAAACTTGTCCAGTGAGATTATGTCCACAATAATAACCGAAACCAGAGCATAATTGGCGCTAATGGTGAACCCATATATCCCAGCAATGCTTGCCAGACCAGCATAGGTTTTGACCCAGGGAATAACAGCTATAGTCAAGCCACTCACAGAGATAAATGCACTGTACAGAAATGAAGAATCTATCCACTTTTTATCCCCCCCGTATCCTACCATTACCTAGGGAAAAAAAACTAAACTGAAAATAAACCTAATTTCACATTTTAACATTTAAAAAATATTAAGTAATGCCAGTATATCTAACATATATAATGTATAACTGTTCTTATGCAAGTTGCCCTCTACTTATAAACTATTTTACTGATAAAATGTAATTCAAACCTTATGTTTATCATGATTTTCTGTCCTTTCTCGATAGTGATTAACAATAACAGTTTTAATATCCACAGGAAGAGGAGAGATCATTTACATGTATATATATATTTACAGCTTAACACATCACATATTAGAGAGCCAGGGTAGAATACTACAACCTTAGATAAATTAACTTTTAAGTTTTTTCATATGTGTTACATATTCAATTAAACTACAGTAACTCATTTTTGTAACATAAATGTGGAGTCCGTTAACTTATGATAAGACCGTCAGAAGATGAAGTTATGATGATGCTAACATTTTTATCAGCTGTGTTCTACCTATATCCTCATATCTAAAAAACAAAACAAAAAATGATAAAGAATCTTAACGTGCGACTTTAACTGTTTTAGTGGCTATTACATAATTTTACACTGAAATTCTTAGAAATCAAACTACAAGAGAAAAAACTAAAAAATCACTATGGTCTGTATTTTTAAACTTGATTAGCAACGTCAAAGTTCAAAAATTACATGAATTTTATAATGAAAGCCTTGTAGCTTTTGGAGTCTTATTATTTAGCATTAAGCAATTTTGGTAAAATTTCAGCCGATATCTTTTCTAAAAGCAGATTCAAGTCCATGCATTAAAACAAAATATTCCCTGCACTGTAAGCTGTGGGTGCATTATAAGAGTGACAGTCCCTTAATGTGGATGGATGGATGAATGGTAGGGTGCTGCTAACCGGCTGCCTTCTTTGTGGTTAGTAGCTCAAAATTAGGGATAACAGCAGATAGACTTAGTTATTTTGCCACAAATGCTACTCAAAAATAACAAGTTTAAAAACTGCATGTATATTACATACATCAAAAGCATTATTGTTCAGTTTAGGTACACACTGCTGATGTTAAGTGTTCTAAAGACTTAAATATTTAAAACATTTACATGAGTTTTTACATGTTTTTTGTTTTAGTTTTATATTTTGAAACAATTACAAAGTTGTTTAAAAACTTTATCTGTTTTCTGCGAGTTTTTCTAAAGAAACAACATAAATTGTGTAAAGAAAATAAAGTGATACAGAATTACCCAGGAGTGTAATGATATTTTAATCCCTCTTCTATTCACAAGAGAAATGTACAGTGTGATAATACATAACTAACACTCATTATCGACAATGTACAAGCCTTAATTCAGAACAGAAAACGAGTCTCAATCTGTAGGTACTTACCACTCCAACCATGTTTAAAATACCCAATATGGATATGAGAAAAGAGGCACTTTCTTCCTCAACATCGTGGGTGATGGCATTATCTGGGAGGTATACGTACGGAATATCCACACATGCATACAGTAGAAAATTGGACAAGCAAAACAAAGTATAATGGATGCTCCGAAAGATTGTCAAGTCCACCATGTCCACCAAGAAGTCTTTTAGATCTTGAAAAAATGCACATGCCTACATGAAAAAATTTAAATTGAGTTTCTAAATCAAATGGGAACTTTGGTGGGGGGGGCTTGTATTCCTTTAGAAGATACTAATATATAAAAAAAAAAAACATTCTGGCCTTCTGTCTATCTAATAAATGAAGACAACAAGCTGTCAACATTTTTTAGTTTACTACTTTGCTATCGATCACGTTCAGTGAGACAATGTAAATATTTTATAAAGTATGTGCATTGTTATGTTTGTTCATACTTTCTCATCATTCCTACAACGGTCTAACCTTATAGTTGTGGAACCGAGAAGATTTTTTTTTAATATACACCTAGCCTCAATGTATAACAACAAGATAATTTGTTTTCTTGAAAAACTTGCAAGTATAGTTCTTGTACTACTAGTCCTGATAAAATATATAAATACAATACACTGACTCTAATAACTGACAACACCCTTTGATTTAAATATAAACACTATTTACTCAGTCAGCAACTAACCCTTATAATAAAGAAACAATTTTTTCAAGTCTGAATTATATACAGCTGTAGGTTGAAATATTTCTTCTGTGTTTTGCTTGCTTCATCTGGATACTTTTATTCTTCCTTTAACAGATGTAAATCACATAGATACTTGACATCCTAAATCAGTTTTCAACTGTGTCTAATAAAAAACATATTTTAGTAGAGATGCTACTGACGAAAAGTTTTTGTGCACATGCCAAGCCACTATAACGTGTACTGTGCTAGCGTATGATGCAAGCAGCCTTAGAAAATTCCCCTCCACCAATAGAAGAACGATACATCCTCCGTGATCAGTGTCATCCTGATGACAGTCTCTAACAAACAGCATCAGATAACACAGGCCTGCAATGGTTTTATTGTCTTGACATTTTTACATGTTCTGTAGTAATTCCTGTACGCTGAATCCAAAAATATTAATTTTTCTCCATTACATACAGGTTTTTCACAAAATGTCATAACACAATACATAAAAGAAAGACCACAACACGTAGTTTTGATATTAAAAGACTAATTAGATTTCACAAAAAAAAAAAAATCAGGATAAATGAGGATCCATATTCGTTTGATATCAATGTTCTTCCCTTTTCTTCTGTTTCTTTGTATTTTTGTTAACAAAGATAATAATAAAAAATGTTCATTGTGGTAAATGAAATAATAATTTGATCTAAGTAAAATTTTTTTCTTCCCAATTTGTAAAAAATCCTTACATGATAGAAAAAAAAAGAATATTCTTTTCAAAATCTGCAGAGCTGAATTATGGAAACGTCATCCTGAGAAGTGAGGTTGTAACGTCGAAACATGTAGAGTCGTCAACTTTTTGAAGGCCACAGATAGGCTTAAATAAAATGTTTTTAATCGTGTACCAGTTTAACGTTGAATATTTTTTATGATTTTAACTTTATACACAAGTGCCAAAATATTATAAGTATGGAAAATGTTTCTTTCACAGTACATACATCACAAGAAGATGCAGTAACTGAAAAATACAATTGAAAAATCAGGCTCAAAATGTACATTATAAAATATACATGTCGGTAGAAAATAGAAGTCACAAACTAAACTTCCTACATTTAGAGTTTTAGCTTTGAAGAGTTTCCTATGAATAAACCTTTCTTGATCATTCTAGTGCAACACATTCAAAAGATGAAAAAAATTTGCATTTACTAGTACAGAATCATATTCATGCATACAGTAAATCAGTTTTTAAACTAATTTTATTCCAATCATAGTAAACAGAAAAGTTATGTATCTTTTTTTAATTTTATGTGAAATATATTTTTATTAAATTCTCACATCACTGTGCATCTAAATGCTGTTTAATAACTTAAAAATTCTTATAGTTGAAATTATCTTTTCTATTTTGTAATGATAAACAGAAGAGCCTACATTTACTATTTAGACACTATGTTTAACTTCATTTACAGAAACATCAAGCTTGGGCTTTAACTCTTACCTGTTCTCTTCTGTCTAAAGTAGTCATGCTGTTACGGTAGATATCAGGGCAGCTAGATGCTCTTAATCGATAGCGATGAATATTCAGCATAGCTCCACGGTAGGTTAAGCTTCCTCGTTGCAGTCGCAGGTTGTTGAGCAGAGCAGAATCTGTTCTTTCCAATATATTCTGTCCCCACCAGGAGACATGTCTCTGTGTCTGATGTCTTAATATGTGGTTCTGTTTGTGTTCATGTTTTTCCTTTATATTTTCTTTTTGAATGACAACTGGTTTTTGTTGTAAATCTCCTATTGATATTTTTACAATGGTGTCAACTGTCTGAATCTTGTTGGGTGACATTCTTCTTGGGGCTTCTCCTGGAACAAAATCTGATACAAATGAATTCAAAATGTCTGGAAACTGATCAAGAAGAGTACTAAGATGTCCTTTTTCTTTTGTAGATAATTCATTAATCACTTCTACTGGTACATTTTCACTACTTATGTATGTTGGTAATTGAACTAGGGAATTGCACAATCGATCCCTCGATATTCCATCTACCTTATCTGTTTCATCGTATGAATCTCTTCCATCTTCAGAATATCTTTTGGACTCAGTTTCACTCTCAAAATCTGATACCTCTAGCTCTTTAGGAGAAATTTCCAGATCCCTCATGAGAGACCCAAAGACCACAATATTCAGAAAGAAACCAGATAAGATTAGCAAAGTGCCACGCCACTCATATTTTTCAAGTAACACAATAGTCAAAGGGGCAAACACAAAGGTGCCTATTCCTGTCCCACAGACTGCTAAACCAGTTGCCAAAGCCCTCTTCTTTTCAAAGTAATAAGCTACAATCACTATAGAAGTTACATAACAAAGTGCTAAACCAAACCCTGAGATGCTAAAAGTAAGAAAAAGAAATTCCAAAGAATTGGAAAAAAAACTCATGGCAAACCCACTGGTAGCCAACAAAGATCCTGCAATAGCTACTTTCCTACACCCATACCTATCAGTCAATGCACTTGCTATCGGACCCATCAACAAGGGCATACTCAAAAAGAGAGAACCAACCCAAGCTGTTTTGGCTTTACTTTCATCAAAATAACTTACAAGGTGAATATAAAGAATACCAAATGATAATGATACTCCATCAGCAATTAAGTTAACCATAAATGAAGCAAATACCACCATCCACCCCCATCCACCATCTGGAGGAGTGGGAATACTCTTTGCCTTAAGATGCAATGAAGAGGAACTCGATGATGATGATGATGATAAACTGTGTGAGCTATTGCTTAATTCTTTGTGAAGGGAAACACCCCTACCAGAGTCTGAATCTTTTACAGTTTTTAATTCTTTATTTGATTCATGTAGTTTTATATTACAATAAACTTCCAGGCACTCATTATTTTCTATGGATATATTAGACATTGTAATAACCAATATATATTATTAGTATTATATATTTCTTTAACAGAAAATCCAAATTCTTGAAACAGTAAGGGTTTGGCCATGGGTCTGAGAGAGTAAACTTTATTCCTCAGTCTGAATTTCTTCATCAATACCTATAGGCCATCAATAGCTTCAAATGTTTCGGAATGTAAAATCTGAAAAAAATTAAAAAGCCAATTGATAAAAAGTAAACTGTTAACTATATTTCTAACATTTTAAAACCACTAAGTAATATGTAATCTAAGTTAATAATATATTTGCATTCGTGAAGGTAGAAATAAACTATAAGAAACTAACAGCAACCAGCTGCATATCTATATCTTTCCACAAAACATCAAAATGCCCTGTATATTTTTCTCCATACTGAAAGAAGGTATAAAATATATTATCAGTTATGTGCAATACATTAACATGGCTCATATACAATTTTTCAAAATTCCTTTATATATTTCTGTTTATGACATTTCCCTGCAGAAACTGGAGCAGCCAACAGCCATGCATGATCTTCCTTGATGATAATCTGTATATATAAAGCAGAGTTGTTCATCTGTCCATCTGGCATTACAAGTTATTGTGAGAAACTGCTGTGCAACACATAGAGATCACGTGGATAAACAATCACGTGAACAGTTTGAGCTAAGAAACCATTTCAATTTTACCACCTTAATGCAACAAATGAGGGTTAAACTGAGTGAGGAGATCAGTGGTAAAACATTCAAAGCCAATAGCAAACAAAACTTAATAGTTAATGCCATGCATAACAAGGGTACCTTTTCATTAGTCAAATGGTTCATTTATTATGGCTCAAAATAATGGAAAGGGTGGCCCATGCCCCCATTTTATAGAATTAGTTTTTAGCCCAAGCAGTTCCAAGTACCTTTGCTAGCATTTAATATTTGAGCATGAACTCTTTCTTTTTTGTCTCCATAGCATTATTAGAAAGTATAAACACAACAGCAACAATGAATGTTCATACTGTATTACCTTGAGAAAGAAAATCAAAAGACCACAACTACTTTAGTATAAATTTGTTTTTTTTCTTGTTGGTACAAGTTCATACACTAAAAGTTACCATTGTGCCATTATGTTTCTCATCTTTTTATTATTTTTCATCCATTTCAAGAACACCACATTCATTAGACAAATGGGCCAGGACTTTTCCTGGAATCTTTAATCTACTGGAAGTTGTGATAGACAGCAACCAATTTTTCAACTTTAGCCATCTTTTGTTGGTTTCTCATTTTTGACTGCAAGATTCCCTAGCCAAAACATTGCAAGTTAGCATAGGCTGTTGCCTATTGGTTAGGCTTAAATGACATTATAAAATCATTACATGGATCTCTTTCTCTTGCTTACAAAAATGTCAGAACATAATACTCATTTTACTCTTTAAAAGTTGATATAGCATACTCAGTTTCATTAAAAATCACCACTGACAATAATTCTGGTTCCTTTATTTAATTTTCCAATAAAATACTTATTTTTCTATATAATAATATATTGGTACATACCCAATATCAGCACCACTGCATAGTTCTAGAATATTCTTAAACAAGTAAACATACAATTCCAAAAAAATGCAACCAATCAAAATAATATTCTGATTAAAGATGGACAATTAAGTCAATTTCCTATGAACATCAATAATATCAATTAATGCCATAAAAATTTAATTAATTAATTAATTAAAATCAGTGTTTTGATTGTTACTAGTTTTGTTTACTTCAACTATCCAAATAATCAAAATATTGGCATTATGATTTATCTTTTTTTTTATTATTAATTCAGGGTTGTTCAGCCTAATCAGTTTGTTTCATAATTCACAAAAAATTATCAATTAATTAAAATTACTGTTTTCAATTACTCCAACTATCTAAGTTACAAGTGAAAATAATTAATTTGTTGAATGTAATTGATTAGCGAGTGAAGATTATTCAGTTATCAAATTCCACTAATCCCCTAGCTGTAAGTCTGATGCCTCAATCAATCATTAAATTTTAATACATTCTCAACTCACAGAATGTCTCAGAAGTTTGTTTGTTTTGAATTTCGCTCAAAGCTACATGAGGGCTATCTGCACTAGTTATCTCAAATTTAGCAGTGTAAGACTAGAGGGAAGGCAGCTAGTCATCACCACCCACTGCCAATTCTTGGGCTACTCTTTTACCAACGAATAGTGGGATTGATTGCAACATTATAATGCCCCCCACAACTTCATGTTTTCTAACTTTTCTCTGACTGAACTTCTCTTTCACTCGACATTACTTTTACTCTGCTCCTGTTCATTTAGTCACTGCTATTTATATATTTATCACTGAGGCCTCTAGAACTTTCTATAGCCTTGACAAAAAGAAATTGCAAACACAACTTACAACTCCTACCAAGTTATGTAACCAAATTTGTCATAACTGTCGCCTTTAAGATAATTGCTAACACAAAATTTATTAATTTTCTCAACCCACAGGGAATGATTAGTAGAAAATCTACTCTATCAATTTACACCATAAAACAAGAACAAAAAACAATTATTCATATATTCAGTACGATTTATCTCTGTTAAAAAATTTATGTAGATAATAAAATAATATCAGGTACAAGTAATTTTAATACTATTTCTGTTTACACAAATGGCAATTTCATTTGCTTTTTTTATTCAAAGGTACCACAATTTTATCTTAATTTATTTACTGATAACAATTTTTTGTTCCAGATTTATTTTGGTCTTTTGACAACAAAAAAATTAAACACCAAGTTATAAATTGCTTAGTTATGACATCAAATCGAATTAAACATACTGTAAGTTTGAATTTAATTTTACATGCATTTTATCACTCATTTTATATTAAATGAACAAGACATTAGATTTTACAGGAATCTTCCAACAATGCTTAATAAAATATACAAGTTCTATGGTACTCTATTATTGTCTAATGGAAGTAATACATACTCGAATTAGTCTATGATCTAACTACAGCTTGTATAATAGTAACAGCAATGACCATATTGCAGGTTTTACTTTGTGTTAATCCTTTGACATGATTCAATGCAAGTTTTTCATACATTCTGAGTTTGTTAGTTTGTTTTTCAATACTTGGACAAGCCATCCCTAATTTTGAACTGATAGTGATACACTAAAAGGGAAACAAAAGTATAAAATCCTATACGTATAATCCAAGATCTTTGGAAAGGTTGGCCTTTCTTTATCAGGAGCAAACTTCCAGTTCAATACCAACTGTTATACCACTGCCACTACCAACAGTATAGTAATACTAATAATACTCATGAATAAAGATATCATTATTGTGGAATATGCTTATTTATTAAACAATTATATTTAGTCTTATCGCCACTACAATTTAATACAAACAACAGTGGAATATGCCTATTCATAGTATTACTATTACTTGTATTAGTAAATGAGTATTACTGGCAACTTGCAATACTGTACTCATTAATATTATTAAAGACGAAGCTTTATTTTTTTCCCAGGAAAAATTGACAGAGGTTTACAAAAATTAAAAGTGTATCTAAAGTTTATATCATGAATTTTGGGCTAACCTCCGGGGTACAGGTTGTAAAATAAATGAATTTTTCCTCAACAATGTTACCAAATTTATGAATTATATTATAATTTATAATAATAACGTTATGTACTGAAATTATATGGCATAGCTATAATGAGTATTATACAATGTTTTCTAAATATGCGTATACTCCATTATGTTCAAAAGAAACAAAATATATTCACTTGCATTCTTAAACGAAAACGAGACTTCACACCTCAAGATCAACAAATTAAACATATACTTATATATATATAATTACAATACACAAAATATAATGTAAAGCGCCCTCTTTTAGCATACCCCAAGGTCAACCTTGTGACATTTGCTATTAAAGAAGGACATTAAAAGAAAAAAATCCTATTCCTGATTAATAGTTATTAACTACATTGTTTTTATAGAGTAAGTAATTTTAACAACGTTAATTTTCGAAACGTTAGAGACAGTGTTTGAAATGTTCGTTAAAATTGCATCATGAATTCGCCTTGTTCTACAATAATTATTTTATCTCATCTATTTACTGACGAAATCCTTAAAAAAAAAAGACAGTTCTGACTAACCTGTACTTAATCTCAAACAAACCTATAATGAATAAATCATAAACATGTGATTTACGATATAATAAAACTAACTGTCATTTTAATTTTCACCAAATGTAATTGCAAATTAATGTAAAAGCAGTAATTCCTATGATAGAAAACAGGGCAATGTGTCTTTAACTCTTATTAGAGTTGTTATTCTGAACGCACACGTGTGTATTTTAGTGGCAATAAAATATTTAAAAACACTTATACATATTTACAAAGTAGCAAGTTACATATTCTAATTCATTATTAGGAAAAACAGAAACGCACTGATAACAAAAATAAATAGCGCAAACCATTTATGTGGCATCCAATGGCACCGTTTGTTTTTTATATTATTATTATTAAATCAAGTAAAATTGTTTTCGTTCGTTTCTAGTAGTACAACATTTGGGGAAACTATAATTCCAATGGTCGAACTGCTGTTTAATTACTAAAAAGGTAAAATTTTGTTTGAACTAAGAATAATAATTCAATCCATACTTTAATCGAGAATTTTTTTTTAAATCAATTGTATACAATGCTATTGTGGGATAGGACTGTATTAGGTAGTTGTTAATCGTTGTGACTTTTGTAATGTTTGCGTTTTATTACTAAACATTTTTCTTGCAGTAATTTTAACTTGTTGTAGACTAAAACCATCAAAAGAATTTTGGTGTCTTTTGCTTAAACATTAGAATATTTCTAATTCAAACTTAACTTTGGGAATATATTTTATTACTTTTAATGTGGCACCTTGACCTAGTGTGAGAAACTATTGTTACGTCTCCGTTTGTTAATTGATTTTTCCGTAACTTCGTTCCGACGAAACTTTAACGACACAAGTCTTTACTTAATAAAACTGGTTTATTCTTTCCGAATATAACTCTGCGATACACTTAATCTCAATATACTAGAGCATTCGCCAAAGTACAGGATAGTTCTAGAAACGTGGCGTCACTGTAGTCATGTGACTCGCTGACGCAACACTATTAAAGGTTTCTCCACTCGGGATCTACTCTTGCTATTTCATCACATCCACAACAAACAATTGCTCTTGTGTTTTGTATTATGTTTGTTGTTAAATAAGGATTGCGATTTATGCACTTGTGAACCATCTCTTTCTTCATGAAGAACTCGGTCAGAGTTTGAAGAAAAACACAATACACACTACGTAACTCAATATTCTCAGAATTTTCAGTTAACGGGCCCTAACTGACTACTCCGAGTGAATTAATGCGCCAGAAAATAGTGTAGCACCAAAAAGAGTTTTATCAAGCTTTATTCGTCGAAAGCATTCAGGGGGCTGTACTCCTTTAGCCCCTTAAATTCACCATTAAGGTGATATCTTGAGGTTACAACCTACCTTATGTGGATATATATGACTACCATTTCAACTAAGTAACGAACGTAGTTTCGTTTGAGTTTACTTATTAATTATAATAATTTTTTACGAGTTACAGCTTCTATTTTTTAAACAGGTACGATGTTTCAGTCGCTAATGCTATCTTTCTCAAATACATAGGTTATAACGATAAGTGAGGTTTTGTATCACCAGTGATCGAAACGTTGTACCTGTTAAAAAACATTATTATTGACTGTAAAAGTTGTAACTTGTAAACAAATAAGTAACCTGAGATTTAGTCATTCTTGAACATCTTTATTTTTTTTTTCAAAGGAGGTCGAAACATTGTTACTTGTTTTGTGTTTATAAATAAAAGTTGTTCATACCCATATCAGCCGTCTCTCCTACATACATATATATTTACTTCAAGTGGATTCCTCGTAATCATAAATCATCTTAAGTAATTAGGTCAGCCATAAGTCTTGAGGAAGTATGACCAGCCTGATCAATCAAAAACTCCAGTAAAAGGGGCTGTCTATTCGCTTAGAGGCACAGTACAAGTACTGTTGCTATGTGTTATATCCAGTCTATTTATTTTTTGAACAGATTCAGTTTATTGAGGCGGAACTTGTACTACTTTGCAACATATCTTGCCAAACCCCTCATTATATATAGCGTTCCTACCTAATTTACACTAAGGAAATAGTTTCAATCGAATTTACCACACTACACTAATGACTTTACAGTTTTACTCCACCATAGACAATTTTTTTTGTAGGATTTCACAGAAAGATACACGAGAGTACATTATGATTTACAGGAATTTTGTTATATTGTTGTGCAGAAGTATGTAAAACTGTTATCTTGTACATTTGTTTCCTTACAACTTGTAAAATATATTATTTACTATGTGCTAAAAGTTCGACCAATAGGTGTCACTGTGAAGTGTTGGTAACATTTTTGATTAATTTAGTAGAGACGGCTGGTATGCTAATGAATATTACAAAACTGTGTTTAAAATACAAAACAAGTGGGTTCCTCGTCATCATGAGTTAGTTAATCTATTAACTTTATTAAGTCTGAAGATAATTCTGGCCAAATAAAAAAATATGTTTTTGAAAAGTATTTGACAATATAATTTATAAACAAGCCAGTACTAGTAGCAATACTAATACTAGGAATAGTATTAGAAATTATAGTGAAGTTATTGTGATTCATATTATTAATAAAATTTACACTTACAGAATGTTATAATTCAAACGAATCAATGAGGATCATTACCAGTTTCAATCAGAAAGTAATTAATAACTACATAAGTATAAAGTTGTTCAAATGGCCATATAGTTGTATATAAAAATATTAGTGGTAAAAAATAATTGAAATATTTGATGAAATTAAGTTATAAATTGTTGGATTGTAATGATGTCTTAGCTAAGCTTAAAATATGGTAACTGACAGATATACATAATTGGCTGGAATTTTTTTGTCCCATATTGAGAGATTATTTGAAGAAATATTCAAACTCAAGTTATAACCCTTCCCAAAGATGCTTTTGCCTTTTATGTCTATCAATAACAAGTGATGTTGCTTAGAGAAATTTTTCACCTGATCATCAGCATTCCTTTGATTTATATCTTGTAAATCATATCAATACATTTCTTTTATCTGAGCTAAATCTAAAGCAGTTTGCCACTCAGAGATACAATTCTATGGACTTATGAGTGAAAGTAAAGAAAAATGTATAGCAATATATCAACCATTCTATATCTGCAATATTTGGTGCTTGTAAGGTCTTTTACCCAATACTACCACTGATCAAAATGGCTGGGATGTGATAGACTATATTATGGTATGAACAAGATTAAGTTGTTGAAGTGCAGTTTTATTCAAGTCATTTACCAATCAGAATTATCATATGGAGTAATAATACAATATTATTTATTCATTTCAACACCAATTAATTATAATTTCAATTTTACTCAAATTAACCTCACTCATCATATAGAAGAGTTGGCAAACCAGGAAGCTGGTCTTATGTTTGGTTAAACAAATGTGGCTAAAGATTGTTTTTGAAATTTGTGCAAAACTACATGAGGGCTATCTGCACTAGCCGTCCCTAATTTAGCAGTGTAAGACTAGACGGAAGGCAGCTAGTCATCACCACCCACCGCCAACTCTTGGATTACTCTTTTACCAACGAATAGTGGGATTGACCATTACATTATAATGCCCCCACAGCTGAAAGAGCGAGCATATTTGGTGGGTCGGAGATTCGAACCCGTGACCCTCAGATTGCGAGTCGAGCACCCTAACCACCTACCCTTGTGGCTAAAGAATCAGGTCCAATCAACATATGACAGATACTCCTTTTATGGCTCCAATAACCTTTGAGAAATCTTATTCGGTACCAAATTTATCTAAAAGTCAGACGTACATATTCAACATAACAAAACCATGCCTCCCTAGCTCTGAAAATCTATATTTTATAATTAAGTTCGCTTGTACTATTGCTATTCTTTTTTTACACTTAAGAATTTCTTCTTTAAATCTTCAGGTTACTTTCTTCTTCATAGTGATATACAATACGTTTTCTAACATATTGGTTTCTTATTATGAGACTGGTATTTTTCAATAGAACCCTGCTTCTGGCTGTCATTAGTATATATAACGTCCAGTGTTTTAATAGGGAAAACTTTGTATTACTTATACTGGAATACTAAATGCTGAATTTCTTATTGCTTATTTTACCATTTTTAAGACCAGGTAATCCGAGCTGTTTATTCATAATTTTAGTGGATTTCAATCTCATCTCATACAACGTTGAACTGTTTCCCTTAAAGTAGAACACATGTTGTTGGTTTTTGTTGGCCTGGCTGAATAACACTGACAAATTGGTCACATCTTAGTGAATATATAGTCTTTTGTAACACTTTTGGATAGATTCTGCAAAGGTTTCTACTCATGTTTTTTTATACTCCTGAATTTCACTAGTGACACCTCTCTTTCATGACACAATCTGAACCTACTAGTTTTGTAAGGTGGATTAGTCATTCTAACAAATGTGCAGCACAAGTGATAGCCTGACATTTAAGTAAAAACTAAATAATTCCTATTGTTACTTTGTAATTATCTTTTTCATGAATTGGGATGGTGTAAGTAGTCTTTTAAATCCTTTGTTTGTAGAGAAGGTTGTGGTCATGGTATATTTATGTGCTACCTTTAGTTACTTATGATATAACTGTGGAGAGTAAAGAAGTGTGTTGTTGTAAGTGGTAGAGTTGTATTGACCTGCTTAGCTCTTTATTAAAATATCTTGGTTCCATCTGTCAAAGGTACAGGTGGTTTGACCATCAAAGAGTTGAAACAAACAAATTAACTGTGTAACTGACTCACTATGTCAATTTTTCTTACCAACCTTTCCAAATTTATCTGTACATCTTTTGTACTCAGGCGATCCTGAAATCTGTAATATTATTAACAGTTGTAATAAAACCCTATAACCCCAGCACTTTTGAAAGGTGTACCTTTCTTCTTCAGGGGCAAACTGGGAAGAAGAAAGGTCCACCTTTCAAAAGCACTCGAGTTATAATAGGGTTTTTATCATTTTATACTAAGACTTCTTGAACCAATGTGTTTTTCTGATATCATGAATTTAACAGTTATAAGATTGATAACAGAAATATGCATAACATTAATCTTGTTACATTATGTTTGTGGTTCCTTAGTAGCACTGTGCAAACTATCTTAAATAAATTTGAACTTAGCCTCTATATTGTTTGTTCTAAACAGCATTCTCAAAATTTATAAAATTCATTCTTTAATGCTTGACAGTTCAACAAATTGGTGGTCATGTTTTTTATGGTCTACTTATACCTGATTACTTTCTCAGCTTCAGTCTGCAAAATCTCTGCCATGCTTTTGCAGGGTCTCAATAATATTTGTTTACACTTAGTTTTGTATACAAAGTTCTTCATTTATATTACTGGTTTATTCTTTTAGCATTTTTCATATATTTTGAGACTCATAATTTTAATTACTGACCCACTCTTCTTATTTATGGTTCATTGCATACTCCTTTGGGTAATAAAAGAAAATTACAGGTTTCCATGGTAATAACTACATGTAACCACTAAAATAGGTTGACAGATATTATGCAAGGTGGATAATTGAAAATGGCTATGAAACTCATAAAAATGGTAAAATTAAGAAGATTAAGGGGTTTTAGAATCAAACTTTGACATACCCAAGAACCCTGAAAGCTTTATGGTGGTCAAATGTTGGGAAGTAGAACATTTTTTTTTGTGGATATCCAAACAGACACAAGCCGCTTTATGGTGGTCAAATGTTGGGAAGTAGAACATTTTTTTTGTGGATATCCAAACAGACACAAGCCGCTTTATGGTGGTCAAATGTTGGGAAGTAGAAAATTTTGTTTGTGGATATCCAAACAGACACAAGCCACTTCATAGTATAAGTTATGGGTAATTTAAGTAGGTAAACTAATACATGTTTGTATTAAAAATGCCATTACTGCAGATCATACTAATAATTGTTCTATGGAGGTTTCATCTGTCTAGTATCAGTAATCACATGTTAAAGTCTTTGAGAAATGCTATTTTTGAAATTTCTTAATACATTCTTTATCCACACACAAAAAAGCATTCATAAAATTTTACAATTAAATTTTCACTCGAATGAAATTCCACCACTTATAAGAATCAAATATCCATATTTATACAGCTTATTCCTTATCATAGAATAGACATGTATCAGTATTAATAATGGTAAAACACTGAAAAAGACTTGATCTCACTATAAAGTATTGATAATTTAAATGCTTTTCTGAAACAATGCCAATCAATTTACTCTTAAAAGATACCATTTTATGATTGCTAAACTGCTAATACATTTGGATACAGTTTTAAAATGACTTGTAGTATACTTTAAAAGCCAACATAATGTTACTTATAATGACAAATTAAACTGTGTACATTATTGTGTTATAGTTTTTATTTATCTTCAACAACTACATTTTACAATAATCAAAAATCAATGTCTTATTTAGAACTATTACAAACTATATTTAAGAAGATTTTTACATATAGTTTGAAATTTCAAGTAGTAATCACCTACGAAACAACACATATTCCGTAAGCAATGCGTTTCGAAACTAAAACAAATATTTATAATGATTTTGACATTTTAACTGAAGTATTAATCAGACGTTTTCTTGTTAAATTTCATCCACAAAATATATCAGAAAAACTTTACACACCAGCACTGTTGAAAGTTAGAACACACAGACTACTGAAAACAAAGTAATGGGTATTTCATGGTCATCATTATTCCTCAAGTCTATTTTAAATGAATGCAAGCAAAATACTTGAAATAAGCAAATTGTAATCAAATACAGAAATTAAGTGGAGTTTATTTTATTATTTCCAAATGAGTACCGTATATATATATTTTTTTTTCCTAGACGTATGCATGGGGTATGTAAGAGATGTGATTGTCACAGAAAACACGTGCTGGTTAACATTTTCAGGAATTGAATTACATCATCAAAGAATCTGTTTACTACAAGTAATTATATTATCAAATTAGAATTTGAGACATAAAATTTTACTCAAAGAAAAGAACTGGAATTCCGACTCTGCTGTTACTGTTCTTTTTTTTTTTATGCAAGAACTCCACGTAATAAATATTATTGTGCAAACTACTTGCTTTGGTCAACTACAATTAGTTAATTATAACAGTTCCTACAGTATGTTTTTTATTTGGAATTGTTGAAAGACTACTCAACACAATAAAATAACCTATATCACAGACTTTCTTAATCTGCTTGAATAAATGCTAGATTGAAATGTTTGACACAGTCATTTTAAAATATGATATTACAGTATTAATGCACAATTTCCTTTCAGGTGTCCAAATTCTTTCCAAACTTTTTCCCACAACTTTCCAGGCAAGATTGCAGATTTTTTTCTGGACCCACACATATGACACTGATAATTCAGCTCTTCCTCATATATGGCTATAAAGTACAAAAAGCTTCAAACTACGGCACTACAGAAAAAACTGATCTGCAAACACAGACATTACAACTTAGTGGTGGACAATAAAACAAAATTTTTATTCATAAAATAATATTTGATCTAAGCTACTGTATCATCAAGTATAATGACAGTTATCACCAGATAAAAGAACAACCAAGACTACATTAAAATATACCAATAACTGCCAGAGCTAAGCAACATAGTTTATGTGCACTTACAGGTTCTGAGATAAAGGGCTGGATACAATTATTTCTGACTTTTTGACACATTTTTCAAGTTCCCTGGCATTGAGGTCCATGGCCACCCAGAATTCTAAGTATCTTGAACTCTGGATGTTTCATATATATTTAGCTAAATATATTGTTAGTCTTAAAAAATAGCCATGGAAAGTTAAAATCAGCAAAGAGTAAACCCATTTCGATATTCCAAAATGCAAAAAAAGTTAGTCACATGGAAAATTAAATGAAGCAACAAGACTGCATTGTAAGCCATGAGTTATGAAAAATAAACATTTTATTTTATTCATGTTGGATTCACTAGTTAATAATATTTTACTTAAATTAATCCAAAAAAAGGAAGAGATAATAGTTCCTTATGGTTATCAAGAAAACAATTAAGTTGTACAAATACACTCAAGGAATAGACTTTGTGGAAATCAGGAAATATTTGTCTTTTTATTACAACTAATATTTGTAAAGATTATAATACTGAAGATTGCTGGCATGGTTTTATATTGCTGACTTTATGTTGTTGTTTTTTTTATTTTGGACGAATACAAGTTGAAAATTAGGTTTTAAATACTGTAGAAAAACGACGTGAAGACATACAGCAGTTCAAATTTAAATACATAACTAATGCAAAGAAACTTCAAATTTTATGAGTTGTCCAAATCTAAATGAAGTTACCTCATAAATAAAAAACTATCTAATTATTCATTAATAAACAGAGAATTTATGAACTCTATGTTTAAATTTACATTAACAGTGTTTCAGGAATTCAACATACCTCACATTACTCATAGTAAATTGAGTATTTTAGTCTTATGCTGTCAGTTAATACATACAGATAAACATCACTGTTTGAAAATCTTTTTTTACCCTCCAGTCGTGATTAAGTAAAGTTGTACTATATATAGTGATCTAGACAAAATCAAAGATGAATTCTATACGTTACACATAGCTCTTCGCTGCACCAGAGAAAACCTCATTCTGACGACCCAAAGAAGGTTAGTTTGAACTATTGCCTTTTTCGTTCATATTTTTGACTATTGTAAGATTTTCTTTTTTTAATGATCCTCAAGATACACACAGTTTTACACAAGTAAAATCTTAACCACAACGAAGATCAAATTGTCAGTATTTCACATATAATGTTGTAAATATTTCATTTCAAAAGATTTTATATTACTTACACTTTCTTATTTTTTCATGTATGACAAACAATTTTCTCAACTTGTAATCAAATCTTCAAAACAGATGATGAATATTTATCAATAATCCAAAATATTGAATTTTTGTCAAAAGAGGACAAACAGTAGGTATTAACTGATCAAACACTCTAACTTTAAAACTCAAATCAGCATTTGTATTACACATATGATAATATCAACTTAACATTCTAACGTATCTGTTTGAAAGTAGTTGTGCACAACCATATTTGCTAATTTTCTGAAGTAAAATGACAATGATCTAAATCACCAACTTGTAAGTTGTAAATATATACAAATAAGCCTGGAAGTCCACGTACTATAAAAAAAGCAAACTTCCTGAAACGTGATTAAGTAGCCACAACTTCAATTCCCGATGTTGCTGTAGCTGGCAGTACATGTACTTGTGTTGCTCGATTGTAGTTATAGACCTGTCCCAGTTTAAACGGTTCGAGACGAGCAGCAGAATGACCATTTCCCTCTGATCGTAGCCCACTATCTTTTCCAAAATGTTTCTGGTGGTCTGCAGGAATGTATCTGGATAACCTAACAACAGGTTGTGGTAAAAATCCTCCTATTAATGGCATAACCTCCAAAGTAACGTTATGTTTACCAGTCATATCAACATTCACCACACCAGCTGTTCTACCACAAACTGCCCACTGTGACTGGTCTACCACAATCTCATACATTAGTGACTCATTAGGAGTGACTGATTGGAACTGAATAATACTTAAATGCATGTTACACATGCTCCCAACCCGACAAAATTCCAGTCCTTTAGCTGGTATAACTTGAGCTTTCACCACGTACAAAGTTTTATGGCTATCGAGGCGAAAATCATAAGTGTACTTGCGTACCATCGACTGGTCAGAATGTTTGGGCAAATAATCCACCGAGAAAATAAATTTTATTGGGGACAAGGCACATTCTTCAGGTCTAAGTTCCCAGAGAAAGCCTGCAGTTTGTTCTGTGTTTACAATCAAGGTTCCGTTGGAAAGACTTAGAGGCTTTGGATGTACTTGCTTACTATCTATGGACTTCAGTGAAGAGTTAACTAAAATAAAGGATTCGCTGGTTAAGCCATGAACAATAATTTGCACATACTTTCTTTTTTCACATGTGTGAAGCTTGTTTATGCTCATAAATGGTGGCAGAAAATGAAGTGGAATGGTAACACACTGATCTAAGTACAGCCATTTTAAGTTAATCTGATGCTCAACTGTGTTATTGTCTCTCTGTGGCCCTAAATGAGCCAGAACATGTAAAGTAACCTTTATCGTTTGAAAAGGTTTTATTCCAGCTAAAACAACTTTGATCTCATCAGAGAAATCTTCAACACTAGGGTCTAATGACAATAAAAGCCCTCTGGAGGATTTCAAAATAACTTCTGTCCCAGGAGGAACATGGTTACTGCCACTGTTTACATTGATCTCTAAGTTCTGGGGTACCCCTGCTAATAATTCTCCTCGATTTTGATGTAGGTCCATCTTACAAGGTTCATGTAAGACATGGAATGTAACTTGTGGTATTATATGGTTTTGAATAAACCAAAGCTTTCCCCATTCCACACTTACTTGTTTCAGAGAGTAAACCCCTTCATTATGGATTTGAACATTTAATGTGACTAAATTGTCTCCAGGTTTCAACCTCAAGTTTTGACAGTAAAAAGCTATTTCACATTCATCTTTAGTGATTTTGCTACTGTCCTGATGAAAACTATGATGACTGTCTCGCCTCTGTAAAACCTGAGAAACATTAAAACAGTGTATTCTTGCAGTACCTGTGTTTCCATCGTGATGATGAATAAGGTCGGGAGATGATTCAGGCAGAGGGATTGAGTCTTCGGAGCCACTTGTAGTTCGTACATGGCCCTTTTGCACAGTACTTTCTTCAAGTTTAACCACAGAAACTGAGACACTATTACAAGTAATTTCTTCAGGAAACAAGTTACTTATTTTGACAGAAGCTTGAATTTTTGATCCAGGAATAATAACTTCACTATTCTGAATCTTTACATCAGTTATAAACAACAGCTTGTATGATCTTAAATAAACATCTTTCTCAATCATCTTCTTCAGTGTTATGAGTTCACGAAAATAGTGTTCTTTTTCTTCCTGTACAACTGAAGAACTTGCCGACAGGTAAGCACAAAACTTGATATAGGATCGTGTATTTCCCATTGCTTTATAGCAAGCTGCCAGTTCTGCCTCTGTCTTTGCTTGAAGTTTTTCCCATCCTTCCTGTTGGTATGTTTTCAACATGTCCAATAGAAATGTTACAGCTTTATGTGGCTCTTTCAGTTTTAAGTACAGCTGTGCCAAATCGTATCCTATCAACCTGGCATTTCGTACCTGACCAATGTACTTAAAAGTACTAATAGTGAGTTCTGACATTTCTAGGTAGTTTTTTAAAAATGCTTCCTTCGATGATAAAGATTCACATAGCTTAGCATGAGGGCTATGTGGGGCCTTTTCAGCATGTGGATCATTGCCAATCCTAGATAGCAGACTAACCACTAGATGGAGCTGCTCAGAAGTGGCTTCCATATCAGGCATAAGCCCACAAAGAATCCCAAGTTCGTGCAGTTTCTCTCGAGCATAAGAGCGAAGCCCTGCTGTATACAATGAGCATGCTTCAACCTGAGATGATTCTTTAAATATTTCACATGTCTGCAAGACTTCTAAACAGCTTAAAAAAACCCAGCAAGCAATTGATCCTGGTGGCATAACTATTTCCAATACTTTTAGTTCTTTAACACAATTGTGCAAAAAAGGTAAAGCACGCTGTGCTAATTCCCACGGCTTTAAACGCAGCAACAATAGACTACATTGACGAGAGAAAAGATAATTTCTAAAATCAAGTAGCGAACTTTTACCTTCTCTTAATTTCTCCAAAAGAGCCTGGGATTTTAATAAACACAATCCGGGCCAGGTATCACAAGGTTTACAAAACTGGGTTAACCATTCAGGCATCCCTCCAACATTAGAATTAATAACAAATTGAGAAAATAGGGCATCCAGTTCATCATACTGAACGAGTGCTTCTTCATATAGGCCCAACATCTCAAATACAAAGGCCAGTTCTTCCTGAAGAAAGAAAAATCTGTTAAATGTCCACCCGGGCTCATTACGACGCTCGCGTTGTGTTCTAACATATTCCTCATAGCGTCCAAGATGGTAATTATAAGCCTGAAGTACCAGTATTCTGACTCTGTGCAAAAATGATTGCCAAGACTCTCTAGACCTAGAGTCATTTTTCAATGGATCCAACAAGGAAATACACCTTTCAGAGTTTTTACTTGGAAAATCATTTTTCACTTTATCTAGGACAGTTGTTCGAGGTAATAACTTGGCTTTATTGGCTTTTCTTATATCAGCATGGTCGACAACAACAATCATCCAATCATGAACATTTTTTAATTTTAGGTATGAAAACCAAGCATTAATTTCTTCTCGAGATGTGCTTTTGTAGCTCTCCAAGTTGCTGCACTCAGTCCAATAGGTGTGGAGAAGAGGATGACCTGAGATGTTCCACTCTCCTTCCTGTGGAATGATGTCTTCATTGAATGGCACAAAATCTGCTTCTACTTTTACCATCTTTGGTGATCTTCCATATGACCTTCGCCATTCCACTGTCTCTTCAGATAATCTTTTCTCAAGAGTCGATTGGAGTGAGGCAAAAAGATTAAGATCTCCAGCATATGTGATAACTGGCTTTGATTCCATTTTTAAAAAAAAAAGTATATTGAACAATTTGTTTAAGAAACTTCAGGTTCTGTTAACTCTGTAAGTGCCACATTCTCTTAAATGATGAAAACGTCACTGAATGATCTTTCTATACAGCCTGCTTCTCTAGTTTCTTCAACAGCACAAGCCTAAAAAATATAATAAGCTTACTATATCCAAATGTACACTATTTACTTCTAACTACGAAGTAATAAAAACATAACATAAACATACATATGATGAAAATATAGCCACACCACATGGTTATTAGAAACTAAAATTAGAGCAGGCCCATGTAACCCTAGGATTTGACTGTTACTCTTTATAGTTTTAACCCTTATACTGTGCAATTAATTTTTCATGCTAATTCCCAAAAAATGTCAATTATCCACCAAAAAAATAAATTTATTAATTTAACCCTTTGTATTACTTTTTCAATATTGAAAGAAGTTGTGTTTTCTATAACTGACAGTAATATTCCTTGAAAACTGTATTGCATAGTGAAAAATAATGACTTAAACAAAAAATTGAGGAAAATTGGAAGAAAAGTGTTCTCTAGTAAATGGCATAAATATAGGCAAAACTAAATCAATAAGAGGCTAAAATCATTACAAAATATAAAACAATTTTCTAACGAGGCATATAAACATCCAGGTTTCATGGAATAGAACGCAGATGGCAGCACACATGTAGGTTTGATGATTGTTTCAAGTACGGGAATATTCTCGCACGTTGTAGTAGAGGGAAACTTTTTTGGTAGCCGTGGGATAAATCCAAATTTCACAGTTATTGAATATAAATGTTTATTCAGATATATCGGAACTACACAGCAAAAGTGTTAAAGAATGAATATTCATGACAGTTCTAGCTGCAGTTTTTTTTTGGGGGGGGGGGAAGAGATATAATGAGGCCTTTAGGGGAAGGCAACAATATTTCAGGAATATTTACCCACATTTTAGACTTTCAGGTCATGTCAGTTTTTATACACAATTTACCCAAGATTATCTTGTGTTTATACTTATTCTCAGCAAGAGTGCTAAAATATAAAAGTCAATACAAATCCTAATAAAAAATTACACATACATGTGGTGGTTAGAAACTTAATTACTTTTGAAGTACATACATGTCTATAAATCATATAAACTGTAAAAAATACCTTGTAAAATAAAAATTGACAAGAAGCTGCTTGAAAATATATATATATACTAATCATTCCAGTCTGGAAAAATAAAATAAAAAACACATCTCTTTCATGCTTAAGGTTTTTATGCCCAAATTAACTTATTTAAGAAAAGTTATGCTCTATTACAAGTTACTTTTGGAGGTTCACACTAATATTCTAAACCTCTAATTTATTCAATGATTAAAAATAAAATAGATATGACAGAAAAGGTGAAAACTGTCTCATGTAAGTAAAAAAAAAAAAAGTGTTATACATGTGTAAAATTTTACTTTCGCTAATAGTGAGATAATACCATACTGTAGTATACAGCTAGGTCAGATTTATTTGTTTACAGTTTTTCTTACTAGTTGGGATTAAAGATGATTAATATAAATCTGTGGATGTTTAACTTACAATGTCAAGATGAGATAATTTGTGAAACTTGTAAATTCAAGGAAACAGCTACACTAAGAGTAAGAAGTATGAAAGTATCTGAATAATAAAGACAAGAATTATTTAATTATCATAATGCTCCTGCACTAAGCTTATTTATGCCTACAACCTGTGATGGAGTTAGTGGTAATGTATTACGTATCATAAAAAATAACCCCCAAAGATTTGACAAATTATATATCAATACCAGTCTACATTGATATAATCAAGCAGGATTTCAACTTAGTAACAAAAATTTGAAACATTTTATTTCAATACTATACATGCAAGGAATAACTAATCCCCATATCCTAAAATCTAAGACATTGTTTGAAAGATCTGTATGAGGTTCTTCAAGGAACACATAACCTAGAACATCACATGAATCAAACCACTACTAAGGTATACTCTACTCTTTCTTCAACAGTGTTGTTTAGAATGGTTAATATATATACTTTTATTATTTTAAAGTTTTTTTTTTACTATTATAACAATTATTTTGCATCGTTAGCTTAAGTTTATGGATTTAAAACTAAATTAAACCACTTAAGCTGGTCATACCTTGCGAGACAATTGGTCTTTCTCTGCAAAAAAAGTTAAAAATAGAAATTTTAAATCCACCCTTCATTTTTCAGAAATAACTTTGTAAACTACCACAAGGTGCTGGTCTCCTCTACTAACTATTAGGTCATCAAGAAATTAATGTCGCTTTTTTTTAAATGGAAAAACCCGAACAACTTGTATATCAAAACATTTATTAAGTGAAATAGTCTCTACTCTTATCAATGATGCTTTTCCATCTTACAATCAGGTTGTCAATGCCCTAATTAAAGAAATCACTTGGCTTTGAAGCAAAAAACACGTCAATGTACTCTTTAAAACCTTCCACATTTGCATACATTTTTCCATTAAGATGGTGTTGCAGCGAATGAAAAAGATGGTAATCTGATGGTGCCATATCAGGAGAATATGGTGGGTGGAAGAGAACTTCCCAATCCAACTCCATAATTTTGTGTTGCGTCAAACGTGCATTGTCGTGGAGAAGAACACCACCTTTCCAATTGACGGGTGAAGGGCATTTCTGACAAAAGGCTTGATTTAAACGTTCCAGTTCGGGAGTATATTTCTCTGCATTGACAGTTAACTGTGGACTGAGGAGTTCGAAATGAATATTCCCTTTGATGTCCCACCAAAAGCAAAGCATCATTTTATGCAGATGCAATCCAGGTTTTGGGGTCGGAAGTGGTTTTTGTCTAGGACTGAGCCATTGTTTTTGGCACTTAATATTTGCATAGAGGATCCATTTTTCACCAATGGTGACAATTCTTTCCAAAACTGGTTCACGTGCATTATGCACCAGAATAGATGAAGCAACGTTCATACGTTGGAAATGATTATCATCGGAGTTCATGAGATACCTAAACACCTTCTTTATGGAGTTTTCCCATATTCCTAGATGTTTACGTATTG